TTGTTTGTTTGTTTTTGTTTTTTATTTATGCCAGTGTGGGGAAATACTCTAAATGGTCTTAATACCCATTTGCAAGTTTCAAATGTTATGTGCTCTTTGCATTCCTAAAAATATCTAGGCCAGTCTCTGGCACAGAGGTATTTTAAACATATTGGTTTTTACTCCTCTTGTAGTATTGATGCTTCAGTAAAACCAGTTAACCATTTCCTTTCTAGTGCATATTTAGTTCTAAGCAGGTTTTTGTGCTGGTTCTTTGAAGATACTGCTGCTTTATAGTTATAATTAACTGGAAAATTCCTAGAAGAGTTTGAATTTGACTTACTAAGTTTGTGGTTATCGTCTCTGGTATTTCCTCAAGTATTTCCTTTTCCTATCAGAGTAGAAAAATCACTGTTCTGTAATTTAATAGAATTTCCAAAATAGTTACTGAAATTAGCTATTTTTAAAATTGTTTTCCCCCCAGAGTGCAATTGCTTTAACTGTTTCCTTATGAATCAGGTTTTAAAAGCCATTGCATATGCATAATGTGTGTTATATACATCCATATGTGGATGGATATGCGTGTACTTGTATATGGAGTACTCCAAATATTTTGTCATGGGATTATTGTTCTGAGAATGTAATTGAATCATTTGAGTTTTGGAAAAATATTGTGGGATCATAGAAGATGTGATTAGGTTTTACATAGCTTATTAAATATTTAGCTTATCTCATAAAATGAGAATATCTACCAGATTCTATCTAGCCTGACCCAAATTACTGGAAATTTTAGGATAAAGGGTAGTAAAATACTCTGCTGAGTATTTATCTGTTATATACTTGAGGATGTTAGACTGGTATCATTAAAAACAATGCAATCTTCACGAATGTATTTGTTAATACAATGCTTAGTGTCTTAGGATCCATTTTGTTAACTACCTGGAAACAAAGGTCTGCATTCATATTATTAGTAAGCTTGAACCTTCTAAATAGAACCTTTCTTTTTAAAGGCGTTATGAAACTCATGTTATCAAGCAACATTCAAAACGATCCACTTTATAAATTCAGCAGTTAGAGTAGTACCTACATGCTTCACAATGATATTTTCATATTTTGCTTAAATGATCGGGAGGTTTTTAGCAGTTATCTTTTTAGTTAGATGTCATTGAAAGTATATAATAGAACTATATTGTTCTATTCTTGCAAATTATTTGTCATGTCTAAATCTCATTCTCCTTGTTTCTCCCTCCATTGTAGTCGTGAGATGGAGAATAAAGAAACTCTCAAGGGGTTGCACAAGATGGACGATCGCCCAGAAGAACGAATGATCAGGGAGAAACTGAAGGCAACCTGCATGCCAGCCTGGAAGCACGAATGGCTGGAAAGGAGAAACAGGAGAGGCCCTGTGGTGAGTGAGAGGCTGCGGGTTTCCTGCTATATATAAGGAAGGAAGCATAGGAGGACGTGGAAAATTAGGCAAAAATAGATTCTCTTGCAAGGTTTTTGTTTTCATCTTCATTTTAAATGCAGTTTTATCTGCTTGATGTTCTCACCACTTGGAACAAAACACAGCTAAAACTATGCCCATTAAGCACCTTAAACTGTTCTAAACTGGTTGGTTGGATGGAGACATATGCTTAAAGCAACACTGCCCTCTAATGTCAGCATCTAAAACTCTTTTTACGAGAGGTTTATATTGTATTTAAAACTTTAAAAAGAAAAGCAATTTTTCAAGTTTTATTTTCATGTTTTATTTCTAAGGTAGGATCCAGTGATTTTAATTGCAGAAATCTTCCAGGAAATCAGAAAAATATTAAAGAGGATCATGGGTTTGAGATAAATTAAGAAGATACCCAGGGTAGGGGGAAAGAAAGTAGATTCCTAGACTAGGGAAGGCAGGCATACTCCATCCTTTGCCATGATTTTTCTCTTTTAAAGTACAGACATAACTTAGAGATATTGCAGGTTCGGTTTCAGACCACCGCAGTAAAGCGAGTATTGCAATAAAGTGAGTTGTAATCTTTTTGCTGGTGGAGGGTCTTGCCTTCAACTTGTAAAAAACGCAACATCTGTGAAGTGCAGTAAAGCAAGGAGCAATAAAACTAGATATGCCTGTATATGAAATCTATGAAATGTGCTTTTTCATTCTTATAAAAGTAGATCTCAATTGTTACAGTGGCCCTGTACCAGTCTGTACCACAAGTTTTTGTTTGTTGTTTTGTTTGTTCTTAATAAACAGAGATGACAATTTCGGATTGATTGGTGTGTGTGTGTGTGTGTGTGTGTGTGTGTGTGTGTTGAGGGACAAGAGGAGGTGGGTATTATCATAAGTTACTGAGAGCGAATCACTCATTTGATATTTGAAACCCCTAAACTACAACCCTGCCAAATGATTATCTAGCCCTATATTCATCCCAAAAAACCTATTTCAGTTTAAATTTAAATTAAACATGAATAAAAGTAAAAATTGAGCTCCTCAGTCACACTGGCCACATTTCAAATGCTCAGTAGCCACATTTGGCCAGTGGCTTCTGCTCGGCAGTGCAGAACATTTCTATCATCTCCAAAAGTTCTATTAGACCTCTAGGACTGACTAGCCTCTTAAATATCACAAAAACCCCTGAGATTCCGGACATCCCTCATTGTTGAACTGCAGTCTTTCTTGCACAGTCTACCCATTGGTTCTAACCTATGAAGCTAATACAGAATATATAATTGTTCCTTTAGATAACAGCTTTTTTAGCTGCCACATTACCCCTGAATCCTTTCCTTTCCAGCCAAGCTTCCACATTTCTTCCATTTCTTCCTCATATGAAGTAGTATGGTGAGAACCCCTCACCATTTTAGTAATCACATCAGAGGATGGAAGATATTAAAGCTTCATCTTAGAAAAGAGCAAGTTCTATTGAAACATTTCATAGTAGGTAGCAGATTTCTACCCAATTAATATAAACAGCTTTTGAACAATTAAAGCTATCTGAAGTTTGAACATGCTGCTTTCTGGAATTCCTCAAGCTGGTAGAGAGTCTAAATCTTTTGAGAATACCACAGAGCAGAAATCACAACTGTTTAAAAAGAAGCCAACTATTTATCCTTTATTACATATGAACTAAGAACATCCAGTTATCTAAGACCAGATTTTGTTTTTTCTAACTTTCTCCTTTCCAGCAAATACTTAAGTACCTTATCTGTGTATAGAACAGGGATGAAGAGGGAAGATATGTGAGGAATAAGACAAATATCACATAGTCCTTAAGCTCACTATACCATCCTGCATCTGATTTACAGATTTCATATTATCCTTTAAAAGCTTATAGTCTACTTCAAGGTCTGATTTTGTTTGTTTTTATTATGTTTTATGTAAGTTACATCAAATCCTCCTTGAAACATGAGTGAGATGTAAATATCTCCAACTGTGAAAATATGACTGTGCACAATAAATAAAGATAAAGGCATGAACTATGACAAAACAGTTTGTGATTATGTTCCAAATGTGTGTGGTGGGCAGAAGAGAAATAATGACTTAGCAAAGAGGAAGAATGTCAGGCTGGTAGAGTTAAGGGAGGTTTCGTAAAAGGTAGGATTATATCTGAGCTGTAAAAGATGGGCACATTGTCACCAGGTGAAGGTGTGGATTAGAAGGGACAGTGGGGGTGAAAGCCCATGCAGAGGACAGGTTAGGCATGTTTGATGGGCAGAGTGATTGGCTAGTAGGACAGGAGTAGTGGGAGAAAGGCCAGAAGTCTGCTGAGCTTTGACTGTACTATGGCTACAGAGTTTAGCCTTTTGGTCATAGCTAGATTAGGTCTGATAGCTCTAATAGTTAAAAAATAGCAGGTCTTATAAGCTACATTCTTGCTTGAGAGATTGAATCTTAAAACTTGTAGCTTCTTTTGGTATTTCTAAAATATATGTCTAAACTGTCTGTTGTAATAGAACATTGTCAAGAAAAAAAGCAAAATGGTTTTATATTAATCAGACTATCTGAGTACTTCACATTATGTCCAGTATTGTTTTCAAGTCCTGCATTTTTTCAATACAAATGAAAAAACATCTACTTCAATGTAGTTGAATAAACTAACTGTAGAAGTTATATGTACTTATTTTTCACATTGTTTACAAATCTTTGATTGTTGATTTTGAATGTCATATGATTTAGCGCATATAGTAACATAACACCAAACTTTGAAATTATGTATGATAACATTTTAACTAGTGTTAAAGCCTAAATGATACGAATGTGTGGGTAAAATAGTCTTACATTTATGGCTTAAAGTAATACTAAATAAAAGTTGATATATTGCCTGTTATATTTGTATAATATTGCATAGTAAAACTCACTGAGTTAATTTCTTAGCCTATTATGTTCATATTTACTTATTTTTTGTATTTTTAAGTAATAAAAATATTGGAATTTTAATTCAGGTGGTAAAACCAATCCCAATTAAAGGAGATGGATCTGAAATTAATAACCTGGCAACTGAGTCTCAAGGAGAGGGCCAGGCAAGCACCACTTCACCAGCTCCTAAAGGCCGACGCAGTCCTTCCCCGGGCAGCTCCCCATCAGGTCGAACAGTGAAATCAGAATCTCCAGGAGTAAGGAGAAAAAGAGTTTCCCCAGTGCCTGTAAGTTAATGTTTTAACAAATCCGTTAAGTTTCTATAATTTTTAGACTTGTTTATAATACAGAAAAGATTGGCTAGCCATCTGTTAGAAGAGCAATTCTCAAAGTGTGTGTGGCCTCCAGACCCTTGGTTGGAGGGAAAGGGCAGATCCTGAGACCCTCTCTGTGGATCCATTAGGTCCAAATTAATTTTGTAATAAAACTGAGATGTTATTTCACTGCATTGGCATTTTCAGTGGTGGGTAAAGCTGCTGGTGCACTCTCCTGAATTAAAGCTATGACAGTAGAAATTATATTCTTCATTTGGGTACTTGGTACACATTTTCCTCAAGATGAAATAAGTGAAACTCACTTCAAGGGAAACAATTGAAATTTTTTTTCACCAGTGGTAAAATTTGAGATTTAAAGCAAAAATCAGAATTTTATAAAACTCCACCACTATAAGCTTGATAGCTTCCCAAAACTTAGACTTTTTAAGTGAGATCAGTGATAATATCAAATGTGATTTTTTAATATTTTTACATATTGCACAATGAAATGGGTCAACATTTAGAAGATCTGCATAAATTAGTGAACCAGTATTCTCCAAATGAGCAGTACATGAAACAAAATCATTCTTGGTTAAATGATCCATTCAAAGTGTGTAAGATATGGCATCTGGATTTTAATATAACAGTAGGAAAAGTTTGCTGATGTGGTTTCAGATTCCACATTTCAGCCTCTGTTAAGAAACCACTTCTTTGATGTAGTATCAAAAAAGAATATTCATAATTATTTGAAAAGGCTATTAAAATACCTTTCCCAGCTACATGTATGTGTGGGGCCAGGTTTTCTTCATGTGCTTTAACAAAACATCATATTACAGCATATTGAATGCAAAAGCATCAGTGAGAATCCAGCTGTTTTCTATATTAGGTCAGCTATATTAAGACTTCAAAGATATTTGCAAAAAGTAAGAACTTTATGAGAGAGACTTCTAGTGACAGAAATCCAAGTTAAAACTTACTTTCTAACCTTGAAGAGCACATGAGTGGATGGAAAAATGATAGTGACCACAAGGGGGAGATTTGGTTTTCCTCAGATCTGAGGTTGTTAAAGTATATAAATCCTTCAAAAAGTAAATTTTAACTAATTTTTACAGTGAAGCCAAAAATACCCAACAGTATTTATTGGCTTTATATTGACATACCATTAAATTAGCTACTTTTTTTAACTTAAAATAAGATCAATCATTTATTAGCTATGAATCTGCCAATTGGGCAGGGCTCCGCAGGCATGGCTTGTGTCTGCTCCCCATGACATCAGCTGAATCTGGAATATCCAAGACTGCTTCTTCATTCACCTGTTTAGTGCTTCAGCTGGGATGCTAGACAGTTGGAGGCTGGTGGCATCTCTTCTGCATAGCAAAATAGTTGGGTTGTAACAAGAAGTGTTTTAAGCTAGGAGAGAACATGGAGTAGATTCTCTCTCACAGTATTCAAAAGGAACCAATCCTGTTGACACCTTGATCATGGACTTCGAGCCTCTCAAATTATGAGACAGTAAATTTCTGTTAAGCCAAAACAAAAAACAAAAGTGTTTCAAGATGGCAGGTCCCAGCATAGTTCTTGTCAAGTCGTGACTTGCATCATGTTTGCTAATGTCTTACTGCCCAATACCAGTTACATGCCCAAATCCAGAATTGATGTGGCAGGGGACTACACAGTATGTAAATACTAGGGAGCTCTGGTTCATGGGGGAAATCCAAGTAAAAGTCTATCAGAAGTATATATAGAATTACATCTCCCCTCCTCTGCCCTCCCACTTTGGTATATATGCTAGACAGTTACCCCTTCATTCTTTTTAACAGCTACATAGCACTTTATCATTTGGATAAGTCATAGTTTATTTAATGAACTACATACTAATGGACATTTATATTCCTTCTTAACCTTTAATTACTAAAAAACAATGGAACAAAAATATTTTTATGCATACATCATTTTGCACATCTGTGAACATATCCATAATCTGAATGCTTAGTAGGTCAAATAACATGTACATGAGTACTTATTTTTGTTTCTAGTTTTTTTTACTTTTAAGGAATTGCCTATTAAAAAATAATGGCTTTATTGAAATATAATTCACATACTATACAATTCACCTGTTTAAATTATATAATTTGTTGGTTTCTGATATATTCATAGAGTTGTACCCATCACTACAATAAATTTCATAACATTTTCATCACCCCAAAAAGAAATCCCAGACCAATTAGCAGTCTCTCCCTAGCCCAAGGCAACCACTGCTCTACTTTCTGATTCCATATATAATTTGCCTATTCTGGACACATCATATAAATGGGATCATATAACATGTGTGGTCTTTTTTGTGATTGGCTTCTTTCACTTAGCATCATGTTTTCCAGGTTGAACCATGGTATTTCTGTCAGTATCCCATTCATTTTAATTGTAGAATAATATTCTATTATATGGATATACACATTTTGTTTTATCAGTTCATCAGTTGATGGACATTTGTGTTGTTTCTACTTTTTGGTTGTTATGAATAAAGCTGCTGTGAACATTTGTGTACAGTTTTTTTGTGGACATTCATGTTCACTTCTCTTGGGTTTATACCTAGGAGTGGAATTGCTGGGTCATATGTTTTCCAAAGCATCTGCACCATTTTACATTCCCACCAGCACTTTATCAGGGTGTGCACTGCTTCATGTTCTTGCCAGTATTATCTTTATTCAGTGAGGCATCAAAAAGAACTAGAATTTCCACTGGGCACTGATAGCAAGACTAAGTTCTAGGGGAATCAGTAGAGTGGAGTGAGAGGGACATATATCACCCTTACCACAGGACAGTTTTTGTTAGCCTCCAGTGAGATGTCTTAATCAAGAAAGAGTCACTTGCCATTAGTTTTCTACATAGAGTACCATGGGAGGAATTCCATGGCGTTTTTTGTAAATTACCAGTTGCAAAACAACATTTAGTATACCTTAAATAGAAGCCAGGAAATTGGATGTTTAAATTTTATCACTAGAAATAAGTCATTTTGCCTGCTTATGAGATGAATTTTTATGCTTTTTATTTTGAGTCACACAATACTTTTCAAAGAACTCAAATATTTATAATTTATATTACCACATGGTTGTCTCTCTTGACCAAATTTTATCATCAGTTTTAGGGATGACTAACTTTTAGAAGTTTACCCATGATGAATATGTCAAACAAAAGCATTTGCAAAATACATTTTGTCCCAATATATATTGAGGCATTTTTTCAGAATATAAAATGCTGTGTGGCTGTCTGGTATGACTTTGGGGGGGTAATTATTTCTCATCAAGAAGTAAACAATTTCACTAATAAAAAAGCAATGTTGTGAAGTTTCAGAGTGGGAGAATCACACCACCTCGAAGAGCCCCCTCACCAGATGGCTTCTCACCATATAGCCCTGAGGAAACAAACCGCCGTGTAAACAAAGTGATGCGGGCCAGGCTGTACTTATTGCAGCAAATAGGACCCAACTCTTTCCTGATTGGAGGAGACAGTCCAGACAATAAATACCGAGTGTTTATTGGGCCTCAGGTAGGATTTGTCACCTTTTTATATTTTATTAGTATCTGGTACTAACCCAAATTTATACATAATAACATTCTTAAATTTAGATCAGTTAATTCTCTTTAGTAAACAAAAGTGAGTTTAAAATATATTTGGGGCTAATAAATATTTTTAATGTATTAAGGTTTTTACTATGACTTAATATACTTTAGAATACATATTTGATCTATTTAATAAATTCACCAAAAATAAGAGTAATTCATGGAGATAGCTGTAGACTTTTTTTTTACATATCTTGTTATATAAGGGAAATGAAACAAATTAATAGAAACTTTAGTGTAATGCACTTGGAAATATAGAAAAAGTGATAGGCTGAACAATTCTAATAGAAACACTAACCTGTGGTGTTTTTAATTTTTTTTTTTTTAACTCTTTAGAATTGCAGCTGTGGGCGTGGAACATTTTGTATTCATCTGTTATTTGTTATGCTCCGGGTGTTTCAATTAGAACCTTCGGACCCAATGTTATGGAGAAAAACTTTAAAGAATTTTGAGGTAATTTTAAATTAATGCTTTAAGAGTAAAATTGTCATGAAATTTTTATGGTATATTCCTAAACTTTTTCCATGAGCTCTAAATTTAAATATATAATGGTCATTTTGAAGGTGTGGTGATATATAAGAATTACTTGATGCTTCTAAATAGTTCTCTTATAATCCATTGACTAGTTTTTTTCTTCTAGATTGAAAAACAAGTAAACACTAACTTGCTGTAAAAATAGTGTCCTTAGTAAGTTATATGTATGCTTAGTTTTAAAGCTTTTAAATGAGTTTTGTGAAAAACTTTGAAATAAAAAACATAATTCAACCTCTAGAACTCTTCGTATATATATTATGGCACAAATATCATTGTTACTGTCTTTTTTCAATGTTAGGTTGAGAGTTTGTTCCAGAAATATCACAGTAGGCGTAGCTCAAGGATCAAAGCTCCATCTCGTAACACCATCCAGAAGTTTGTTTCACGCATGTCAAATTCTCATACATTGTCATCATCTAGTACTTCTACATCTAGTTCAGAAAACAGGTTAGTACTTTTTAAGGACTTAAAAGCATTAATCCAGTGTTACTTTTTAACTTTAGGGGTAATTTTTTATATTTACTTGTTAATTTGCTCTAAAATGATTTAACTATTGCACCTTGACTTTCAAGTTAAAATCAAGTGTAAAAAATACTAAAGGTCCTCTGCGTGTGTATGTACACACATATACACACACACACATATATGGACATTTTGTCCCGAAAACTACAGTGTTGAAAAATGGCACCTTAAATATCAGAATATAATAAATGTTCATTTCACAAGAAAAATGTGGCAGGTATAAAATAATGAGTGACTGCTGTTTGTATCAATCATTACTTTGCTTCAAGCACCTAATATGTTGTCTCATTCTGTTTTTACAACAACCTCATTAGGTAGGTTTTATCACTGTTTTGCAGATAATGAAGCTGAGGCCGTATAAAGAATATGTGTAAAGAATAGTTCTTCTATAAACACAAGGGAAAGTGGTTTCCCCAAATCACTTTCAAATGTAGGATTTTTTAATAGTGTAACATCACTGCTTCTTTCATAGATACTTTCAGGGAATCCTCATTACAGGCCATTTCACCTGTGAGAACATAAGCATGTTCTTCTAAACAAATAATCAGTTTAATTAGAGATATGGTAGCTGTTAATCACAGTTGTTACTTAAAATCTGCAGTGCTTCTTAAGCTTTTTCATTGCCTAGTTGATGATAAGAATGAACTCATAACCCTGAAGGATCTGAGATGCAGCCCAAAATGACAGGTGTGAAATTATTTTCAAGTCTCTAGTGTGTGTTATGTGCTGTTGAGTCAGCTCCGCCTCCTGGCGACCCTCTGAATGAGTAATGTCTACAGTGCCCTGTCCTCAGCAGCCCCGCTCAGCTCCTGTAGACTTATGCCTATGGCTTCTTTTATGGAGCCATTCCATCATTATAATTTCCAGTTTACCTCAGTTCATGCTTTCGTTCCATGTTCCGATTGTGTGTTGTACAGCATTATACTTTCTTTCTGCCTTTGTGCACATCAGCCACTAGACATCCTTATGGCTTGGGTCTAGCTACGTCATTAGCAACAATGCTATTGGTACTATTCTCTACTCTTCCCTAGTAACTGTTAGAGTGCTTTTAGACCTGGGAGTCTCATCTTTCAGCACTATTTTATATTTCAACTTGGATTGTCTCATCATAGGGTTTTCATGGTAAAACAGAAAAGAAACAAAAGAACAAGGAAATGCAGCAGTGGTTTACCATTGCCTTCTGCACAGTGTGTGGGTCTCTAGTGTTATAAAAGTCCATGTGAACTTTCTTTTTCCAAGATTATTGGTTTTAATGTAAAAATGAGATTTTTAAATTACCCCAGAAAGGAGTGCTGCTTCTCTTAAAAGGGTACCTCCTATATGTTCCCAAGGCACTCTAGTTTGAGAAGCATTGGTCTAAGTGATTAAGTCCCATCTCCCTCCCATCAACTTTTAAATACTGTAACTACAAAATTCATAAAGAATAGAAAGTAATGATATCTGGACAAGGGCCTGATGAAGAAAAAAATTGAGAGGTTTTTTCCATCTATTGAAAAAGTAAATGAATTTTCTTATTTTTGATTCAGTAAATTGATTTTAGAATCACAGAGTTCTATGAGTTTTGGGGGACATTAGAGATTTTCTAGTTTATTCTGTTCAGTGATAAGTGACGCCAAAAGAGGTCATGCAAGTCATCTGAGCAAAGGCAGAATCAGAACCTGAGTATCTTGACTTCTAGTTCAAGGCCCTTCCTCTTACCCCTTGTCTCTTCTAAATAGAATGAAAAACTGAACTTTATTTCTCAACCTTCCTACCCTCAACTGATTCTAAAGCCTTTCTCCTTTTGATTGACCTTTCTGTAGCTTTTTATTTTGGGAAAAAAGAACAAATGCTTAAACCAGATAGCCAAAGTTAAAATAGAAGGTTCCTCTCTAAGATGAAGAAAGGCACCTTCCAGATACAGTCTGGCCATAATTTTGGGGGTTTATTGGTTCATTTGGATTAGTGTGTGCATGAGGGAAACCACAGAGTGGTTTATAATCTTGATATACTGAGATTATATTGCGTAGGTAAGTAGGTTAATGTTTCATGTAATCTCAATTTAAAAAGTAAATTTATCTGGATATTTGATTGCATTGTATTAATTTTAAATGGTATATAAGAAAACATTTTTTTAAAAAAAAACAGAATTGGGACAAATTTAATACACTTAAAAAAATTAACAAAACCTTGCCCAAAAAATGAAAGCTGTAAACAGGAACTTAGGGATCCAGCACATAAAAGGGGAAAGGGCATGAAGAGAATATTCACAAAAGAAGAATTTCAAGGGGCTAACAAACATATGAAAGTTGTTCAGTCATCCTAATAACTAAGGAAATGCTCATTTTAAAAATACCAGATTTATTTACAGAATTAGTGGGCACTTTTGTAACAAGGCTATTCAGTTCTTATAAGGATATGCTTCACTGTATGTAAAGTGGTATAGCTTTTCTGGAAAAAAGTGGCTTTTTAAAATGTTTATCTTCATTGATCCAGTAAATGTACTTTTTTTTTTCTAAGAAGAAATCTTTAATCTGAGAAATGCACAAAACTTATATATATGGCTGTTTCTCACACTGTTACAGTGAAAAATTTACAACAACTTAAATGTCTAGCAAATGAATAATTAAAGTATACCCATATTATGAGTAGTTCAGACAGCCATTAAAATTATACTTTTGAAGAATATTGAATGCTATGAAACAAAATCCAGGTTATAATACTATATGTCATACATGAACCCAATTTTTATATATAAAGGGTATTATAGGTGCATAAATATGGGAATGAGTAAAAACTGTAGTAGTTATTAATAGGTGGTGTTATTCTAGGTGACTTTTTTCGCTAAATATCTCTGTCATAACTACTCAGCTCTGCCCTTGTAGCTGAAGTAGCCATAGACGATATGTGAATGCATGACTGTGTTCCAGTAAAATTTTTCTTACAAAAGCTGGCCACAGGCTAATTTGATCCCCTTGTAGTTTGCTAATCCCTGCTATCTATTCAGATGATTTTACTTCTGGAAAAATTGTGCTAAAAAGAAAATCTAAAATGTAAAAAAAGTGACACAAAGTTGTTTCTAATGGTTTCTTAAAAAGTGAAAATATGGCAACAACTTAAATGTCCAACAATAAGTGGATGCTTAAGTAGCTAGGGTCAATTTAGTTGGTGGGATATTATGTTGCCATTAAAAAGTATGTTTATGAAGACTTTAATGACAAGTGGAATTTTTATGATAAAAATTTTTTAAGAATACGGACATGTATATAGACAAATGATCTGAATATTTACAAAATATGTACTTGGAATAAAGACGGGCAGAAAATACTCCAAAATGGATTGTTTTTAAGTCAGAAAAGTTTTTAAGTAATAATAATAAGTTGCACTTACAATTTGACTAAATTGTGAAACTTTATTTTTCCCCTAGGTAAGTCTTTTGAATAAACTAATTTTGGTGTAATTATTTGCAAAGGTAGTTGACCTTGGATCATCTTTGCCACGAATATTTTTTATTGTAGACTGTTGTATAAATCATTTCTGCATTATTTTCAGTATTTTTTGTCATTAATAACATGCATTTTTTGATAGCTTTTCCCCATTCTATGTAGCTTCATAATTACGAAAAGACATAAAGAGATGGGGCCGATAATCAGGAGGGAGAGAGACTAGTAAGTGTGCCTTCACCTCAGGAATCCAGCATTGTAATTTTGCTGATCTGTTTGTAGAGCTTTTAGGAAAGTTTTTTTGGGGAACTGTTATTTTGCTGTCTGACAGTCACTCAGGCCTGTTTTTCAGGAAGTATAGCTTGAGATAGTAGAAGTGTAATATTGGGCCCAGGGGAACACTTGAGCTAGTCAAGGCTCTGGAATTTGTAGGGATCGGTAGGTTATGGGATAATCTTCTTAAATTAAAGCCTAATGATAGGTCTACCACAAACCGATTTTATAATCTTGGGCAACTTATTTAACATCCCAGAGCCTTTATGTTGCAGTGGAATTGTTGTTACTGATTTTGATTTTTAAAGCTACTAGTCACATCATGAAGGTTCAAACAAAAATTTATAAAACAGAAAATATAATCCCTCTCTCCAGTCTGGGCTGCAGTTTTTTAGGTCATGGATATGTACGTTTCGTATTTTAAGAAACAGTAGCAAATTCCTTTCCAAAAATTTCAGCTTTTACCCCACCAGCAGTACATATGAGAACCCGTCTTCCTATGCCATTATCAGAGCAAGATGTTACCAACCTATTTAATTTTTGTCTATCGGATTATCACCCCCCAAAAAGACAAATAAAATGGTTTTGTTAATTTTAATATGAATTTTGTACTTTTTTCATGTTTATTGGCTATTGGTATTTTTATTTCAGTTGCCTTTTTATCTTCTTTGCCGATTTTACTAGTGAGTTATTGGTATTTTTCTTACAGATTTTTAAATGCACTCTGTTGTGTTAGGAATATTCATATATACAATGTAATTCAAATATACACAGTGAAGTTGCAATTTTGCCATAAAGTGAATCATTCTATACAAGTCAGAATTTTATCATGTTATCTGCTTTTTATACCATATAGTATATTGTGGATATCTTTGTTATTATTTATGGATCTCTTAGATCCTTTTTAAAGGCTTCATAGTGTCTGGGTGTACCATTTTTTAACCTCCTTTTGATGTTCATTTGGTTCATTTTTTTTATTATGCTATATAATATGCGGTGTACATTTTCATACATGTATCTTTATTATTTGTCTCTTTATTTCCTTATGATATATTCCTAGAAATCTAGTTGAAAGGTTGTAGATACATTAAAAATACGACATTTCTAAATTTGTTTCCAGGAAAGTTGGACCAGTTTATACACCCAACAAAATTGTCTGAAATGGGCTGTCAAACTTAAGATGTGAAATTGATGAGATCTAAGGTCCCTTCCAGTACTTGAAATCTTGAAACTGTTGGAGTGTAGTATGTTTGTACATTCAAACCTTTTATAGCAGTACTTCATATATTAAATTGTATTCATAGCAAGGAAAGGTTAATTCATGCCCACAATCTGTAAATACACAGTGGTGCAAATCTGATTTAAAATTATATATTAATAGGAGAAATAAACATTTCTCAAATAATTATATATATAAGATGTTCCTAAATAAGAATTTCTGATTTTTTTCATATTGTAAAGCAGCGGTTCTCAACCTTCCTAATGCTGTGACCCCTTAATACAGTTCCTCATGTTGTGGTGACCCCCCAACCATAAAATTATTTTCGTTGCTACTCTATAACTGTAATTTTGATACTGTTATGAATCGTAATGTAAATATCTTTTTGTTTTCCGATGGTCTTAGGCGACCCCTGTGAACGGGTCGTTTGACCCCCAAAGGGGTCACGGCCCACAGGTTGAGAACCGCTATTCTAAAGCCAAAATTGTGTTTAGCATATAATATTAATTCTGTTATATTCTTTTGTTTTGTGCTTAACACCTTCATTTCTCCTCCCTTATAGTATAAAAGATGAAGAGGAACAGATGTGTCCTATTTGCTTATTGGGCATGCTTGATGAAGAAAGTCTTACAGTGTGTGAAGATGGCTGCAGGAACAAGCTGCACCACCACTGCATGTCCATTTGTATGTGGCTCTTTTTCTCCTTCTGCTTACTCAGCGTGGTTACTCCATAAGCTAACTACAGCTGACCCTTGAACAACATGTGTTTGAACTGCGCAGGTCACTTAAATGTGGATTTTTTTCAGTAAACACAGTAAACGTATTTTCTCTTTCATAATGATTTTTTTAATAACATTTTCTTTTCTCTAGCTTACTTTATTGTAAGAATATGGTATATAATATATGTAACATACAAAATAAGTGTTAATCAACTGTTTATATTATCAGTGAGGCTTCTGGTCAACAGTAGGCTATTAGTAGTTTGGGGAGTCAAAAGTCATATAAGAATTTTCAACTGCAGGGATGTTGTTCAAGGGCCAACTGTGTATTATTTAGGATTTTAACATGGCTTTTGAGGAGATTGATGAGGGAAAAAAGTATATCTAGGCCCTATGTGAAGTTTTCAACAAATTGGAGTTTAGGATCTGTTTTGAGATGAGCTGTGTTAGCAAAGAAATGTAATAGAGTGTGATACCTATGGTAATGGAAGAAGTGCACAGAATTAGAAACATAATTCTGATCTGGAAGGTGTACATGGAGAGAAAGAGGTGGAAGAAGGCCTGTGCAGGCGTTACAGAGAGGATAACATCAAAGCAAGGTTTGGAATAACATTACCAAGTAATCAAGTGGGCAGATGATTTGAAAAGTAGTAAACAAAGTACCTGTTATAACTAATAAAATAGCATTTGCAAAAGGTACAAGCATCAGAATAATTTAACCTGCTGTGTTTGCCTGCATTTAGGTAAATGCTATGTCATATTATTTTTTTGTGGTTCCTTCCATATAAATCCTATACTAACTATAATGAACAATTATTACATGTAATAAGATTTTTTTTCTTTAATTTTTCAGGGGCAGAAGAATGTAGAAGAAATAGAGAACCTTTAATATGTCCCCTTTGTAGGTCTAAGTGGAGATCCCATGATTTCTACAGGTAATAGTTTTGAATTAATGACTTGGATATGTTTAATAAAAAATAAAAATGTTCTCAAAGTGTTATTTAAATCTGTTCATTATTTTTAGCAAGGCTTTGTTCATTTTTCATTTAGTCACGAGTTGTCAAGCCCTGTGGATTCCCCTTCTTCCCTGCGAGCTGCACAGCAGCAAACTGTACAGCAGCAGCCTTTGGCTGGACCACAACGAAGGAATCAGGAGAGCAATTTTAACCTTACTCATTACGGAACTCAGCAGATTCCTCCTGCTTATAAAGATTTAGCTGAGCCATGGATTCAGGTAAATAGTCCTTGTTCTTTATTTTTCAAGGAAACTTTATAGACCAATTAAAGTAGTAGTCTTCCCTGCTGTTTATAATTTTAGAAAGCACTTTTGCTTGCCTCCATCATGAGGATTGCTTGCCTCTTATTCCATTGAAACATTTAATTTTACCTTTGGTGTTACTACTATGCTGCTTATTATAGAGTTTAAACTTCAAAAATTCTTTGCAGTGTCACCTCCCATCTCTAGAAGCATCTCTTTCTGAACTAACAGCCATAAAATGTTATCCAGAGATAGACACTAGAACTCTTCAGTGCTAACTTGTTCAAATGTTTAATGCCATTCCTGCTAAGAATTTCTGTCATTTTTCTTACTTGTTGCCATATAAACTCAGTTTCTCCTTTTCTGCATCCTAATGGCATGTAATAGGCGCTTAATAATTGCTGAGTGGATGAATAAAAGAAAATTTATGGTATTTATTTTATCTTAGTCATTTTTATTTGTAAGGACGGTTTCCATTCCTTTACCTTCTCTTCTGATTAATGCTTTTTCATCCTCAGTAAATTGGAATTTCAGTTGATTAGTTGGCTGGTTTCTAATGATTTTCTTTTGTTGTTATATGCTTAATTAGTCCTTTTTTAAAAAAAATAGGATCCAAAACCAGACAATATCTTCAGTAGACAAAAGCAGAGTAAAATATTATTAATAATCCGTTAAATTCTGTTTAATACTCTTAAATCAGAAAACAGGCACGCTAATTCAATTAAGCTTATATATCATTAGAATTTGTTTACTTTTTTATTTTCTGTCCTGTAGATTTTCATTATCTTAAGCATGTTAGCAGTTTATTATGAATCTAATAAAATTTGCAAGCTTAATAAATATATCTTATTTCCTTTATCTAGTTCATTAATGGTCTTTAACGTAGGCCCTCACCTGCCCCTTCATGAGTTCTCAAGACAACTCTCAACTTGATACTGAGCTGTTGGATGCTGTTCTTTCAAGGCAGTGGTCTAGTTTGTTTTGCTTAAGCTTTAGGTTGGACTGGGCTATATATTTCTAGTTTTTTTATTAAGCATATCATGTAAGACAGAATTAAGAATTAGAAAATGGTATGCTATTTGACAGTGGTATGCTATTTAAAAGCACAGGAGTATTGAAATAAGTATATATAAGTTCACTGTATTCTAGTTGATTTATTCTCCTTTACCATCACTTTATAACAAAACACATAAATATGTCATCATTTATTTTCCCCCAAATTATGTTTACTCATCTCCAATATTTAGAAATTTTTCATATGATAAGTTAGGTATTAAGTTTACTTTTAGCTAAGTGGCCCATAATGTCAAAACCATGTATCTTTTCCTTTCTTTAGGGACTCTATGGCTTTGCAGGCATGGTAATGATGACTGTAGTGACATGCATTTTAATTATACGTATATCATTATCCTTCTCTGATTTGAACAGAAGAATTTTTTTCTTTAGTCTTTTGATTTTTCCACTCCATTTATTGTAGTCCCACATATTTTGTCTGTTTTTATAGAAAGAAGACAAAAATCAAGTAAAAGCCTTTGATTTAACCATTATCATCTGTAGGAGAAATACTCTATATGTCTCTTTAATGCTCCACTCCAGGGTCTTTCCTGATTTGGCTTTTTTGATCTTGCTTCAGTTTTTCTCTGTAAACTACCTTAATACAAACACAAAGTTAGGGTTCTTCACTGATTCATTTTGGTTTTTTGGTAAGCATAGGAATACAGAAATAAGCATGTACACACACACATATATCCATCTAATTACTTAACTGAGCCTCTCTTAATTGTAGTTGAGCTAATAAGTGTTAAGGATTTTTTATAATTATCAGTTAAACTTGAGTATAAAATTCCTTCTTATGATTTTTAAGTGGCTGGACATATTTGAAATTGTGTACTATGGGGAAGGTTTAAGAAATGTCCAATTTTCCTTAGTAGTAAAAAAAAAAAATCAGGCTTAATTCAGAATACTTCAGGTTGATTAGTTTTTCTTCACATTTAATTCATTGTATTTGTTTGATTATAGGTATTTGGAATGGAACTCGTTGGCTGCTTATTTTCTAGAAACTGGAATGTAAGAGAGATGGCTCTCAGACGTCTTTCCCATGATGTTAGTGGGGCTCTGCTATTGGCAAATGGGGAGAGCACTGGAAATTCTGGAAGCAATGGTGGAAGCAGTTCGAGTGCTGGAGCCGCCAGTGGGTCTTCCCAGACCAGTATCTCAGGAGATGTGGTGGAAGCGTGCTGCAACGTGTTGTCAATGGTCTGTGCTGACCCTGTCTACAAAGTGTACGTTGCTGCTTTAGTAAGTAGCTTTATTCCATAATCATACCATTGTGGGTTGGTTGGTTGGATTTTGGTAGTTTATAGATACCATTTTTAAGATGCAATAAAACTACTTTACCCAATTTAATTTTGGAAAATCCAAATTTTGTTTTTATTCCATAATCCCAGGAAATTGCAGTTTTTCATTTAATCTCTTCATTTGGATTTTACTTCATCTGGATATTGCTTATTGTAATCGTTCAAGTTTTCTTATATACTGTTTACTTTCCTCCCAAGTAGCCATGTCTTGCTGTTGATATCATTACATTTTCCTTACCTTACTCATGACCAAATTAAAAATACTTTATGGAATAGCAAAGTGATCAAAGTTACTTTGATTTTTTTTTCATTTGATATTAGTAGACATTAAGGAGAACTGGTTTTTAATAAATATTGTTTTATGGAAATTCAGAAGTGTCTTCACAGAAGAGGGTTCCATGACATAGATGGTTACTAGGTTGCTTTTCTAGTTTAACCTGCTAAGTTGCCTTTCATGAGTGGGATGGAATGACAAGGAGACTGTTTTGTTCCTTATGATGTAAGAACATTCAATGTATATCAGCCACCATTATTCCTTGAATACCACTTTGGTTATTCCCCAGCTCAGAAACTTTTAGAGGTTATTGTTGTTTCAGCAGCATTTCCTAAAGCATATTCTGTGGAAGTTTGGCAGGATTATGAAAAGTTCCCTGAAGAAAGAGTTCTATGTTCACTTAAAATTGATGAACACTGAATTACATGAGTTTAAATGGGTCTGTTCACTAAAAGTCCTCTAGGAACCGTCAATAAGCTAATGTACAATACATTGGGAATCTATAAGATCAAGGGGTAGGATGCATTATTTCCCAAATTTATCTTACCATGGTCTGTTTTTTTCATGTAGCATCTTGAGGGACGAACATACTATAGAACAGTATAAAGACCGGCATACTGTAGAATAAAGACCAATATTCTTGGCCCAACTTTTTACCTCTTACTATTTCCAACACAAACTTTCAGACATACTTGACTGCTCAATGCCTTACTGTCTGGTTGTTTCTTCTTAAATTCAGATGGTTTCCCAACTAATCTGTGAGCTCCTAGAGTACAGGGACTCTGTGAATGATACTGTATTCTGATTCCGCTAGTTATTTAATGTTCCAGCCACAATGTAAGCAGAAATGGTTTCTGCCCTTAGAACTCTGCCCTTCCTTTTTTCCACTCCCCTCCCTTCCCTATATAATTTTTTACTGAACCATTTGAGAGTTATTGCAGGCATCATGACACTTCACCTCAAATAATTTAGAATGTCTCTCAGGAAAAACTACACTCTTCCATATAACCACAATGCAATCAGCCAGACTCGAGAAATTTAGCATTAATAACAATACTGTTATGTACTATGAAGTCCATATTCAAATATCCTTAATTGTCCTTAATGTCCTTTACACCTAAACTGCAGATTTTATTTCGATTTCACCAGTTTTTCCATTGTCTTTTTGCTGTCTTAGGGTCCAATCCAGGATCTCACACTGCACTTAGTTTTCATGCCCCCTTAATCTCTTACTATCTGTGACAATTCCTCAATATTTCCTTGGCTTTCATAGACCTTGACACTTCTGGAAGTGTACCAGCCAGGTATTTTGAAGAATGCCCCTCAGCTGGGGTTTATCTGATATTTTCTCATGATTAAATTGAGTTTAGGCATTGTTTACAAGAATACCAGAGGGGATGTGCCCTTCTTAGTGCAGCGCATCCTGTCAGGGAGTACATGATGTCGGTGTGTCTTATTGGTGGTGCCACCTTCATCACTTGGTTAAGGTGATATAAACTGGGTTTCCTGCTGTAAAATGAATAAGTGTCTTGGAGGAAATACTTTAGGACTACACAGATATCCTGTTCTCTTCAAAAATTTGCCCACTGACTTTAGCATTTATCAGTGGTCTTGCCAACAATTATTACTGTGGTGTTCTAATGGTGATTTTCTATTTCCCTCATTTCTTGTACATTAGTTAATTGGAATTCTTCTATAAAGAACAGCTGTCTCTTATCACCCATGTATGTCTTCATTCATTTTCATTTATATCAATATAGAGACTCGGGTATTTATTCTGTGAGTTATAATCCAGTACTATCTATCATCATTTATTTTGTTGCTCACATTATTCCAGCTTTGGCCATTGGGAGCTCTGTCAGGTAGCCGCCTGTTCACATTTTCTTTTTAAAATAATTTTTTAAGCTTTCATTTTGAAACTAATTCAGACTTTTAAAAATTGCAGACATAGTTCAGAGAGTTCCTTTCTATCACATCTGTTTATTCAATTATTTATTTGTATCATGGATTTTAATTTTATTTATGGGTTATAATCTATTCCTATCATTATTTATTTTGTTTCTCATCTCACTTTGTCTCAGTTTAGCTTATTGTCTCTGATGCTTTTTAAATGTAGTTATTAAACTGACCTTCAGTTTTATTCCCCTCCCCACCCCAGAAAACGTTAAGAGCCATGCTAGTATATACTCCTTGCCATAGTTTGGCAGAAAGAATCAAACTGCAGAGACTTCTCCGGCCAGTTGTAGATACCATCCTAGTCAAGTGCGCAGACGCCAATAGGTAAGGCTCTATTGATGAACTTCTTCAAATCTTCTTGTGTTAAAAGCCTAGCACCTAGTGAGTATTTGATACATATTTATTAATTGAGGCTTTGAATATTGTTTTATAATGTGAGATTTGAAATTAAAATGTAACACGTGAAGCTCTTAAGGACTAGCTAGGGAGAAGAACTAATGGCAAGTAAAACCAGGCTAACAAACTGCATAGACTTCCACATTATTGTACTGTGACTGATTCCCTTTATTTTAAAGTAATATTTTTAATCTGAAATCCCGATGATAAGAATAGCCAATATATGTATGGTATAATTTCATTTTAGAGAATGAGTTGCACAGGCTGGGAACCAATAAAATCATTATATCTGCTTTGCCTTATTATCATGACCAAAAAACCACACTTCATTATTTTCTGTGTAATGGAATTTTGCTCTAATTATAACAGCTTGTCAAATAAAAACCAAAAAAATTCCATATATCCCTGCAACATCCTTAAAAATCTACAACGAACAAGAATAACCCTAAATGGAGGGGTAAGATATGAAGTAGAGAAGTAAGGTATGATGATAGTAAAAATGATCACAAGCAATTAGACCACTAGTATTTTTTATTTTCCCTTCATAAAGTGGGAAGAAAAAAGATCACTTTTCATTTAATAAGCATTGGTACAGTAAACACTTGTTTGGCAGTTTTCATCTCTTCATGTCCTAGCAGATCTCAGGTGTTGTAAGAAGCGTTTAATATCCCTTGTTTTGCCCCTGCCATTACACCTGTTTGGTGAGCTCTCAGTCCAACCTTTGTCTTCCCCCACTAAGTCTTATGATGCAGTTTGTATAAGGTCTCAAAACTTTTGGTATTTAAGCTTTGACTTGTTTCTCATGTCATGAAGTCTATCTTTTTTTGCCTCCATGGTTTTCTCTATACAAGCCTACAGATTGAAAGTATTAGAGGTTTTCTTGTTGCTTAAAGAGAATACTATAATATCTGAAAAACATTAGGCAAATTAACAATTTGCAAAATGCATAGAAAACTAACACCATTTTTTAATATTAGAATAGGTGTTTTTCTGAGAACTTCAATGCTTTAGTGGCATTTATTGTGTTTTCTGCTTTCTGTTACTCCAATGAACATTAAAATACCATAAAGAGATTTTATGATATTTGGAACTCACTCTGGGTATGTAAGAGAATATAAAGATTTAGGATGGGAAGGTTTTGTTTCTAAGTCAAAAGATTCTTAGTGAAAATTCAGAAAACAAAATGTCTTAGTCTTCTTTCTTTTTTAACGAGATGTGAAAATAAGCCTTTTATCTTATCTGGTTTGATATTTAAATCAATACTTGTTCAAGAGCCAGTTATGAAGATTCTGTGCTTAACATAGAGGATAAGATAGAATTTATGAAACTAGACCTCATAATGAATATTATTTAGAGTGACACTATTAATGCTATTTCAGTGGTAGAAAATACTCCTGAAAACATTTTTTCCCACCTTTTCACAAGGCATTACATTACTGCTCTTCTTTTAATGTATACTTTATCCAAGATTGACGTCTGATGTTGCTTGGTTTTATTTTTAGTCGTACAAGTCAGCTGTCTATATCAACACTATTGGAATTGTGCAAAGGCCAAGCAGGAGAATTGGCAGTTGGCAGAGAAATACTTAAAGCTGGTAATAACTTTTTACTTAAAATTAACATAGCATGTTTTATCATTTTCCTTAGCAGATTGATATCATAATCTGATAGAGAAGTTACAGGATTTGAAATATTTTTGTAAATTGATTCAGTTAGCTTTAACATCAGAAATAGAATATGAATCTGAAAGAAATTCTTAAAATTAATATAATTCAGAGTATTTTTGTTGGCCTTATGCCATTTGATCATGTTTTGTTTTAGATTTTAATACCACTTTTTTCAGTTATTTATTTTTATTTTCTTTTTATAGGATCCATTGGTATTGGTGGTGTTGATTATGTCTTAAATTGTATTCTTGGAAACCAAATGGAATCAAACAACTGGCAAGAACTCCTGGGCCGCCTTTGTCTTATAGATAGACTGCTGTTGGAATTTCCTGCTGAATTTTACCCTCATATTGTCAGTACTGATGTTTCACAAGCTGAGCCTGTTGAAGTCAGGTAATTTTTCTTCTGAAAATATATTGCTTTCCTCTGCCTACCTACCCCATTTCACACCCTAACTGCCAAGGACACATTTTAGTGTAGGTTACTAATACTTTTTTTTTTTTTAAGATTTTTTTTTTTTAATTGGGGAATTGGGGGATGGGAACAGCGCTGGGGAATTGGGGGAAGGGGAGCAGGCAAGTTGCTGTCCTTTTGGTCTTCCGTCTAGTTGTGGAGGACGTTGCTTCACTGGCCCAAGTTGGCACCATCATTGCGCTCTTCCCGGGAGAGGCAGATCAGTCGCCGGCTTCTGGACGGCTGCTCACGGCGGCTGCTGGCCGCTCATGCTGGCTGCTGGCTACACCCGGTAGCCCATGGCAACCCACTGCAGCAGGGACTGCAGCAGTGGCCAACACCGGCAACTCATGGCAGCCCAGCTCCAGGTTGAGCTGTTGTTCAGCATCTTAGCTATAGAGGGCAGTGTCACTGGCCCTCATATGTGGGATTCTAATCTGGGCCCTCTGGCATCCCAAGCCATCTCTTAACGAGTGTGCCACTCGGCCAGCCCAATACTTTAATACTTGATTGACATAAAAACCTGAAGTCTAGGCTAATTAAAAATTTATAGACCTTTGTACTGAGATGATTCTTTTTTTGAAATGTACAAGCTGTAAATTAGTACCATCTTCTTTTTATTTGTATATATTTTATAGTAATTTTAACTTGTCTAGTAATTAATGTGTATTTTCTTTCAGGTATAAGAAGCTGCTGTCCCTCTTAACCTTTGCTTTGCAGTCCATTGATAATTCCCACTCAATGGTTGGTAAACTCTCCCGAAGGATATATTTGAGTTCTGCGAGAATGGTTACTGCCGTACCCCATGTATTTTCAAAACTGTTAGAAATGCTGAATGTTTCCAGTTCCACTCATTTTACCAGGATGCGTCGTCGTTTGATGGCTATTGCAGATGAGGTGGAAATTGCTGAAGCCATCCAGCTGGGCATAGAAGACACTTTGGATGGTCGACATGACAGCTTTTTGCAGGCTTCTGTCCCTAACAGCTATCCAGAAACTATGGAGAACAGTTCTCTTGAGTGCACAGATCATTCAGAAAAAAATGGAAAAGGATTGTGTGCTACAAAATTGAGTGCCAGTTCAGAGGACATTTCTGACAGACTGGCCAACATTTCGGTAGGACTTTCTAGTTCAACAACGATGGAGCAACCAAAGCCAATGGTTCAAACAAAAGGCAGACCCCACAGTCAGTGTTTGAACTCCTCTCCTTTATCTCATCATTCCCAGTTAATGTTCCCAGCCTTGTCAACCCCTTCTTCATCTGCCCCATCTGTATCAGCTGGAACCGCAACAGATGTCTCTAAGCATAGACCTCAGGGATTCATTCCCTGCAAAATACCATCGGCATCTCCTCAAACACAGCGCAAGTTTTCCCTACAGTTCCAGAGAAACTGTTCTGAAAACAAAGACTCAAATAAACTTTCCCCAATCTTTACTCAGTCAAGACCCCTGCCTTCCAGTAATATACACAGGCCAAAGCCATCTCGACCTACCCCAGGTAATACAAGTAAACAGGGAGATGCCTCAAAAAATAGCATGACACTTGATCTGAACAGTACTTCCAAATGTGATGACAGCTTTGGCAGTAGCAGCAATAGTACTAATGCTGTTATACCTAGTGATGAGACAGTGTTCACCCCTGTAGAGGAAAAATGCAGATTAGATGTCAATACAGAGCTCAACTCCAGTATTGAGGACCTTCTTGAAGCGTCTATGCCTTCAAGTGATGCAACAGTCACTTTTAAATCAGAAGTTGCTGTCCTCTCTCCTGAAAAGGATGAAAATGATGATACCTACAAAGATGATGTGAATCATAATCAAAAGTGCAAAGAAAAAATGGAAGCTGAAGAAGAAGAAGCTTTAGCAATTGCCATGGCAATGTCAGCATCTCAGGATGCCCTCCCCGCAGTTCCTCAACTACAGGTTGAAAATGGAGAAGATATCATCATCATTCAACAGGATGTAAGTATAGAGTCTTTAAGAGGTTCCAGAGTTTCCTTGGACCATACTAAAATAAATTTAATTCAGAAATGCTGCTTTTAACATGAGTTAATTGTTAGAAGCAGGTTTTTCATATGGAATATACAATGTTTGTATCATTGAACAGCAACACCCCTTGCCTATTTCAAAGGCATTTCCACTTGATACTATAATGGCAATCACGTCTGCATTTGACATTGATTACCAACACTGTACATTCTTAAGTCAATTTGATAGGTGGTTTTGGAAGCCAGACTGAACAAGAATAGTATTTTGCCAGGCTATTTTCACAAACTCTTACTCTTTGAACTTAACAGTAAAAAATATTGCTTTCATTAAATATGTAGACACCAGAGACTCTACCAGGACATACCAAAGCAAAACAACCTTATAGAGAAGACACTGAATGGCTGAAAGGTCAGCAAATAGGCCTTGGAGCATTTTCTTCTTGTTATCAGGCTCAAGATGTTGGAACTGGAACTTTAATGGCTGTTAAACAGGTAAGTATCACTGAGCATATAAATGATTAAAATTATAAAAATGAAATATTAGCAAATAAAAAGAATCAAGGATATGTCCCTATATGTATATATTTTAGTTCTTTAAATTTTCAGAAACCTAAATTTCAAAATATTGCGTTGTCGGAAAAGTCATGACACATTTTTGCAACGAAAAACAGAAAAAATACATCATGACTTTTCCGACAACCCAGTAGATGTTGCCAAAGCATCAAAAGCATCATGAATTCTATTTAAAAGTTGAAGCATGGATAAGATGCAACATCAAGAAGGGCCTTATACAGGTTTTGTTTTTTGTTTGTGCTTTTTGTAGTTAGTAAGAGGTATAGTTTCATACTCCTTTCAGCGATGTTGCTGGTGCAACATCACCTGGGGATTTCTATGGTTCACTTTTTATAATGAGCATGCTTATCAAGATATGAAAATGCTAAAGTTTCATTTTTAAATCATGTTGGTTTTTCTCCCATGATTGGGGTTTTTCTCATTTTTTACTCTGTCTTCCGACAGTTTTGGAGGATTGGCTATATCCCAGTTTTTTGTCATTTTCCTGGTATTTCACTGCTTTTTAAGCTACAATCTTATTAAAACAACTTTGACTAGGTTTTTATAAAGTATCTACATTGCATCCTTCAGCATAAATGCCATCTGCTATTAATATGTAAGCTAATTTAGATTTGTCCATTTTAGATCACATTGTTAGTTAAAACTGTAAATAGAATCTCATTAGAATGCAAAACTTGGTAAACATGTTAATTGAAACAGGTGACGTATGTCAGAAATACATCCTCTGAGCAAGAAGAAGTAGTGGAAGCATTAAGAGAGGAGATAAGAATGATGAGCCATTTGAATCATCCAAACATCATTAGGATGTTGGGAGCCACATGTGAGAAGAGCAATTATAATCTCTTCATCGAATGGATGGCAGGTATGTTCATGTTTAAATTATAAAATTAATACATGGATTTAACTTTCTGCTTCATATTAAATTTAGGAAAAACATTTTAATGAATGCTTATTTTTATTAAATAGTTTGGGTTAAAAAAAAAATAGTTTGGATTCCTAAAAGCAAAATCGGATATCCCTAACTTAGTAGGATGAACTGCAAATATTTTGTCTTTCATTTAACTATAAATAAAATATTCATTACCTCTACCTTTTAAATTTTTTCCGTGTTTCTTTTAAAATGATTGTGTAGCATGGTTTTTTAGGAATAATTTCTTTTTAAACCTGCTATGTATAAGATCCATATTTTTCCAGGTGGCCCTCATTAATTGGACTGGTTTATGATAAGTTTTAAGATGATAATATGAAATTAAAATTAAGATGTAACTTGAAAAATTTATTATAGGTAAAGTAACACTGAAGCATCTAGTTAAACTTTTTTGTCACCTACTTGAATAAAGACTGCATTTTATTTTGTATTATGCAGTGGTTAAGTAAAATAAATGACTTAGGGTGTAATGAATAGGTGAATACTTGGTTTAACTTCTTATACTTTTTGTGTTTGAATAATATTTCTATTTACAAGTTGGGTTGTTTTTTTTAATGGAAGTACAGTTGACATACAGTATTGCATTAGTTTCAGGTGTACAGCATAGTGATTCAACATTTATATACCTTACAATGTGATCACCACACTCTGTTTAATAACCATCTGTCACCATAAAAAGTTAAGATATTGTTGACTATTTTCCCTATGCTACATGTTATATTCCTGTGACTTATTGGAAGTTTGTACCTTTTACTGCCCTTCACATTTTTCACACATCCTCCGACCCCCTTCCCCTCTGGCAACCATCAGTTCTATGTATCTATGAGTCTGTTTAAGTTTTGTTTTGTTTGTTCATTTGTTTTGTTTTTTTAGGATCCATATGTAAATGAAATCATACAGTATTTGTCTTTCTCTGATGTATTTTACTTAACATAATACCCTCTAGGTCCATCCACGTTGTTGCAAATGGCAACATTTCATTCTTTTTATGGCTGAGTAATATTCCATTATATATATATATATATCTATGTGTGTGTGTGTGTTTATATATATACACATGCATATCTTTAGCCATTCATCTAGTTAGACACCTAGGTTGCTTCCATATCTTGACTATTGTAAATGCTGCTGCAGTGAAACATTTGTGCCTGTATCTTTTCAAATTAGTATTTTCATTTTCTGACCATTTTTTAATAGAATTGTTTGTTTTTTGTATGTTGAATTGTAACAGTTCCTTATATATTTTGGATAGTAACCCCTTATCAGATATATGATTTGTGAATATCTTCTCACAGTCAGTAGTCTTTTCATGTTGTTGATGGTTTCCTTCACTGTGCAACAGCTTTCATATGATGTAGTCCCATTTGTTTATTTTTGCTTTTGTTGCTCTTTCCTGAGGAGACATATCCAAAAAGATATAGCAGAGACTGATGTCAAAGAGTTTATGCCTATGTTTTCTTCTAGGAATTCTATGGTTTCAGGTCTTATATTTAATCTATTTTGAGTCTATTTTGTATACAGTGTAAGATACTGGTCCAGTTTTCCTAACACCATTTTTATTGAAGAGACTCTGTTTTCCCCATTGTGCATTCCTGCCATCTTTGTCATAGAGTAATTGATCATAGAAGTGTTAATTTAAGGGTTAATTTCTGGGCTGTCTATTCCATTGAGCTATATGTCTGTTTTTATGCCAATACCAAACTGTTTTGATTATTAATAGGTTTATAGTATAGTTTGACGTCAAGATTGATTTGGCTATTCAGAGTCTTTTATGGTTCCATGAATTTTAGGATTATTTATTCTAATTCTGAGAATGCCATTGGTATTTTGATAGGAATTGTATGCAGTCTGTATATTGCTTTGGATAGTATGGATATTTTAACAATATTAATCCTCCCAATCCATGAATATGGTACATTCTTTCACTTAGGTGTCCTCTTCAATTTCTTTCTTCAGTGTTTTATAGTTTTCTAAGTACAGGTCTTTCACCTCCTTGGTTAAAATTATTCCTAGGTATTTTATTCTTTTTGATGCAATTGTAAATGGGATTGTTTTCATCATGTCTCAAGATAATTTTTTTATTTCTTCTGTGATTTCTTCATTAATCTATTGATTGTTTAGTAGCATGTTGTTTAGCCTCCACGTGTTTGTGTTTTTTCCAGTTTTCTTGTAATTGATTTCTAGTTTTATACTGTGGTCAAAAAGATGCTTGATATGATTTCAATCTTAAAATTTATTGAGACTTGTTTTGTGGCCTAACATGTGGTATATCCTGGAAAATATTTCATGTGGACTAAAAAGCAGCTTTGGGGTGAAATGCTTTTAAAAATACCAATTAAATCCACCTGATCTAATATGTCATTTAAGGCAAATGTTTCCTTGTTGATTTTTTGTCAAGATGATCTATCCATTGATGTAAGGAGGTTTTTAAAGTCTCCTACTACTGTTGTATTTACTGTCAATCTCCCTCTATGTCTACTAATATCTGCTTTGTGTATTTAGGTACTTCTGTGTTGGGTGCATAGATATTCACAAGTGTTATATCCTTTTCTTGGATTGTTCCTTTTATAATTACATGTAATGTCCTTCTTTATCTCATTACAGTCTTTGTTTTAAAGTCTATTTCATCTGATATAAGTATTGCTAATCCAGCTTTCTTTTCATTTCCACTTGCATGAAATATCTTTTTCCACCTCTTCAATATTCCTTGTGTGTCCTTATATCTGAAGTGAGTCTCTTGTAGGCAGCATATAAATGGGTCTTATTTTTTAATCCATTCGGCCACCCTGTGTCTTTTCATTGAAGCATTTATTTAAATTTAAAGTAATTATTAATAGGTATGAACTTACTGCCATTTTATTATTGTTTTCTGGGGTTTTTTTGTATTGGTTTGTTGGAAAAGTCATGATGCATCTTTGCAACGAAAAACAGAAAAAATACGTCATGACTTTTCCACAACCCAATAGTTCTGCTCTGATTTTTATTTTCTCTTGTTTTGTTCTCTCGTGTATTGATGATTTTCTTTAGTGCCATGTTTGGATACTTTTCTCTTTATTTTTTTGTGTGTATTATATATTTGTTTGTGATTGCTATAAGATTCATGTATATCAACCTATATTTATAGCAGTTGATTTTAATTTGATGGTCACTTAAGTTCGAATGCACTCGAAAAGCACTACATTTTTACTCACCTCCCCCCATGTTTTATGTTGTTGATATCTTATTTTATATCTCTGTGTTTGTGTATCTTAATTACTGTAGATACCCATGATTTTACTATTTTTGTCTTTTAACCTTCATACTAGCCTTGTAATTGGTGATCCACTACATTTACTAAATGTTTGCCTTCACCAGTAAGCTTTTTTGTTTCCTATATTTTCTTATTTTCACTGTTGGCTTTTTCTTTTCTGCTTAAAGAACTCCTTTTAGAATTGCACTTCATTAGTGATGAACTTCTTTAGCTTTTGCTTATTTGAGAAACTTGATGTTTCTCCTTCAATTCTGATTGATAACCTTACTTACTGGGTATTTATGGATATAGCCTTTTCCTTTTCATCACTTTTAATGTATTGTGCCATTCCCTCTGGCTTGCAGTTTCTGATGAAAAATCAACTGGATAGCATTATGAGGACTTCCTTACACATAACTAGCTGCTTTTCTCTTACTGCTTTTAAGATTCTCTCTTTTTCTTTAACTTTAGCATTTTAATTATGATATGCCTTGGTGTGGGCTACTTTGGGTTCATCTTGTTGGGTTCTTCCTGTGTTTCATGGACTTAGATGTCTGTTTCCTTCATCGGGTTAAGAAAGTTTTCAGTCATTATTTCTTCAAATAGATTTTCTGTCTCTCTCTTCTTCTGGAATGCCTACGATATAAATGTTAGCGTGCTTGATCTTGTCCCAGAGGTCCCTTAAACTATCCTCATTTTATAAATTATTTTTTAATTTTGCTGTTCTGGTTTGGTGATTTACATTACCTTGTCTCCCAGATCACTAATTTATTCTTATGCATCATCTAATCTGCTGTTGAGTCCCTCTAGCATATTTTTCATTTCAGTTATTGTATTCCCTAGTTCTGATTGGCTCATCAATTCTTCTGCAAGTTCATTGAGCATCTTTATAACAATTGCTTTGAACTGTTTTATCTAGTAGATTGCTTATCTCTGTTTCATTTAGTTCTCTTTTTGGAGTTTTGTTGTTCTTTTATTTGGAAGATATTCCTCTGTCTCCTCTTTTTGCCTCTCTTTGTTTGGTTCTATGTATTAGGTAGATCAGCTACATCTCCCAGTCTTGTAAGAGTGGTCTTATGTAGAAGGTATCTTGTGGGGCCCAGTGGCACAATCCCTCTTAGTCACCAGAGCCAGGTATTCCAGGGGTGTTCCCTGTGTGAGTCGAGTGTGCCCTCCTGTAGTAGTTGGGCCATGATTGCTTCAGGCATGCTAATGGACAGGGTTTTCCCTCAAGTTAACTGGCTATTTCCCATAATATGGGGGGCTCATCCTCCTGGTGCAGTTCCCCTCAGGCTGTGATATCCCTCCCATTTGTGAATCACCACATAGGGGGTGTGGGTCCTAACCAGACCACATCTCTGCCCCTCCTACTCATTACGATGTGTCATCATCTTTATATCTTTGAGTGTGGGAATTATGTTTAGCTAGTCTTCAGGTCATTCTCAGTAATGGTAGCTGTATATTAATTGTAGTTTTGGTGTGCCCATGGAAGGAGGTGAGTCCAGGATCTACCTACTCCGCCACCTTGACCTCTGCCTCTGCAGATCAGTTCTTTAGTACATTCTCTAATGTTGGTTATAGCTGGATTAATTATTATATTTAGGTTGATAATTATAAACACTTTTAAATGAGGCTCATTGAGTTTGTGACTTGTCCCAGGTCAGAGCTAATAAATAGGATATGAAGCCTAACTCTGGTTCTTCTGGCTTCTCCCGTTCTTTTTACCGTCTGCTAAATAACATGTTAGCACTGTTTACTTGTCATTAAGAAAGGCATTTTGTATACCTTCATCAAAAAGACAGAGGTGAATTGTACATTTCAGAAATAGTTCCATACAAAATTGTTAACTTCTAAACCTTTCTGAAAAACTAGTTCATGAGGGTTCCATAAAAGTATCCTAATTAATAGGTTTTGATTATTGAAATGTGTTGGTTTTTAAATCAATTTCACTTCTGATGCAGAGTATAAATTGAACATTTCAAATGTGAATGTGAGCTCATAACAGTGCAGCCTTATATAACCAAAGTGTAATAAATAATTTTAATTCTGACTTAAGTTTATGATAATTGTTACTATTATATGTTTGTCTCATAGGGGGGTCTGTAGCTCATTTGCTCAGTAAATATGGAGCCTTCAAGGAATCAGTAGTTATTAACTATACTGAACAATTACTTCGTGGCCTTTCATATCTCCATGAAAACCAGATCATTCACAGAGATGTCAAAGGTAGGAATTCTATTAATAATTATTACTAGCAATAAGTGAAAAACAAATGTAATTTTAAAACTTGGATCGTTGTTGATAGTTTATGACTTGAAATCAATTATGGGATTGTGCCTCCTGAGTAACTCAAATCGCTAGAATTATTAGAAGTAAAGGAACCTTCTGGGTCACATAATCTGACTTCCTCAGAGAGGCTGTGACTTTTCCACAGTCATACTTACTACCCGTTGATGGCAAACCAAGTATAGAATCCAGGTATCCAATTCCCTGTCATGGTCTCATGCTATGCTGTCTCCCCAAAAGCTCCTGTTCCCGGTTTTATTTAGAATATTGGGATACTATAAACTTTTGAGAAAAATCCTTCCAAACCTTTTCAGTTTGGTTAATTAAGAACAACTTTAGTTTTCTGCCATGAATGTCTTATCTAGTATTTCACATGTATATAAATAATACTTTATATTAAGCTGTAATTATGAAATTACAGTAGTTTGAATTAGTCTAGGTCAGTGTATTTCAGCAGAACTTCGTCTTAAAATGTAAACCACACTAAAATATGAACTTTGAAGAAAGATTTTTGTTGGGAATCATTAAAGATTTTCAACACTTGAAGTTTCACTAAATCTCTGCCTTTATCGCCTTATGCCTTGATACTTTGTCAGGTTTTCCCTCTAAGGCTTTGGATTTTATTTATTTTACACTGTAGAGACCTGTGTGCCTTTAGCAATAATGAAGTAAATTGGGAGGGAGAGTAGATTTCTCTGAACCTCTGACATGTAGTCTGCTTCTTTCTTTTATCATTTATTGTCCTATGTCATTAGTAGTTATTTTACTGAGTTTTTAATCTGTCCTTTTATTTTTAACATATGAGGTCATTTGCTGTTTTTGTTGACAGGTGCCAATTTGCTAATTGACAGCACAGGTCACAGACTGAGAATTGCAGATTTTGGAGCTGCAGCCAGGTTGGCATCAAAAGGAACTGGTGCAGGAGAGTTTCAGGGACAGTTATTGGGGACAATTGCATTTATGGCACCTGAGGTGAGAAGCAGCTTTGAGTGTGATGAAAGAAAATATTTTGGAGTTCTGTGTGACCAAATTATTTTGCAATATTATCCAGTATGTGCTTACCAATTAGAAGTCCATGGCCCTAAAAATAAGGTTTTAATGATATCCTTGATTTCAGACCCTTCCTTCCTTTCCATCTTTGTCTTAACAGAGTTGCTTAAAGGCTATTTCTAATAAAGAATTATTGGCTAATTTATAGTAGTTGTTCTGTAGTAAACCCAAAATACACATTATAGAAATTTTAAAAATTGTTCTCTATTCCAAAGAGAGATGAGCATGCAGAAGCAGGTCTTATTAATAGTGGAAGAAGTTTTAAGCGTTACAGTTGTGAACTTGGCCTCTTCTGTTGGGTTCAGAACTCTTCATGTTCCTGCATTGTAATTGTTGATTGTCCTCTTGCCCCATAGCTTATTAAGTGCAGTGGGGCTGCTTTGAAATTCTATGATTTCATATGATTCTTCTTTAGAATCTCACAATTCCCCAAAATATTTTTGTGCCACATAGGACATAAAGCTTATTAATGAAATAAATGAGACAGCAAGTAGTCCACAGAATTGCTGTTTGTACCTTTGTTTTGCTCTGAAGTAAAAACCTAGAAACCATAGTTACAAAGTGACTTTCTCTTTTTTTAATGAATCAGATTTCCAGATTAATTCTCTGCTTTATTTCAGGTACTAAGAGGTCAGCAGTATGGTAGGAGCTGTGATGTATGGAGTGTTGGCTGTGCTATTATAGAAATGGCTTGTGCTAAACCACCTTGGAATGCAGAAAAACACTCCAATCATCTTGCTTTGATATTTAAGGTAATTGTGAGATAAAAATTATTTCTTTCTGCTAAAATTGGTAGGAGGTAAATTTTCATGGGTTCTACTTAACTGTCTAACATCAATGCATATCTTCCTTGCAATAAGTAATATGTATACATCTACAGGAATTTATATGGTGTGGCAAATGTTGCAGCATGTACTGTCAGTTCTCATTACTGTCAGTTCTCATTCTTTGTATTCTATAAAGTCACTGTGAACGCTGAATTAGCAAATACAGATCATTGCTCCTGGATGAAATATGTACATATATACATATACTTTCAAATTTAAATAGTTGAAGCTCTTCATGTATTATATACAATCCACAAAATTTTTAAACTCTAATTTATTATTTCTATTTTTAAAAAATTCACACCCAAGTCGGTTGCCAGATACTATCTGTTCCACCTTTCTGACAACTCTCTAATCTGTTCTTTTCATTTCCATCAGAGAATAGTGCAATGACAGATTTTTAGCTTTTGAGTCAGACATGTGCTAGTTAAAAAGCTTGGGCTTTGGAGTTATACAGACCTGATTCCAAACCCTGGCTCTATCCTTTAACAGCCATGTGATAAGGAAAATTACTTCTTCTGTCAACCCTCTGTTTTCTTGTTTATAAAATGCATGTAATATAGCATGGGATTATTATGAGGATAAAATTAGCTCTGGGCCTGATTAAAGCACTTAGTACACAGTTATCTCTGTGTAAAGCAGCTCATATTGGTCCTCTGAGCTGGCCCTGCAGCACCTCTCATCTGCTGTAGCCTCCTCTCCTCCTCCCCACACTTATATAACTTCCTTAGCCCCTGAAAAAAATCAGTGCAGCTATGTTTCTGATATACTGAATTGACTGGCCAGGTTTAGTCTTTCTCACTCTGAGTAGCTCTCTGTGCTACAAAAATAGAAAAGGCGCAATAAAGCAAAGGAGACAAACCATCTTGGAGAGGGAATATGAGGAATGCAGAATTCATTTATTTGAGTGAATACTTTACCTATATAATCATTTTGATGCATTTAGCCTTGTACATTTGAGACAAGAAGGAAAAAAGCAGATCCATCTAATCAGGATGCTTTTGATCAATTACTAAAATTTGAAGGATTCTTTAGAAGAAACCTCCCATCCAGTGGGTGTTTTTCCATAGACTCCTTTGTTAGCAAAAAATCCACTCACTTCTGCTTCAAGTCCTCTGTGTACAAGATGCATATATGAGGTTATGATGTATATGCACAGCTACTTCTAGATTAGAAGTTTCACTTGTGGAAAGCTTCAACACTCTGGTGTTTCTCCTACAGATTGCCAGTGCAACTACTGCTCCATCGATCCCTTCACATTTATCTCCTGGTTTACGAGATGTGGCTCTTCGTTGTTTAGAACTTCAACCTCAGGACAGACCTCCATCAAGAGAGCTACTGAAACATCCAGTCTTCCGTACTACATGGTAGCCAATTATACAAATAAACTATAATGGAGACAGGATGCCCAATAATAGAAAAAACTTTTGTGGAGAACCACATTGATAATCTGCTGGCCTTCATGCCACTGAGCAGCTATGAACAAGACCAGTGGGGAACCCTTACCTAAGTATGTGATTGACAAATCATGATCTGTACCTAAGCTTAGTATGCAAAAGTCCACAATTTGTGCAGAAACTGTAAACCGTGCCTTTCAAAGAACTGGCCCTAGGTGAACAAGAAAGCAGTGAAGTTTGCATGACTAATTAACAGAAGCATAATTTTACTATTTTTGGAGCACTTTTTCAGCAATATTAGCAGCTGAGGGGCTCAGGATATATTTTAATGTTTCAATTATTCCTTTTCACATCTTGATCACAAGCAGAGGGTTCTGCAATTCCGTTTTCTGTTTTTGGGGGGGTTTTTTTGTCACTGGCTATAAAAATCAGTATCTGCCTCTTTTAGGTCAGAATGTGCTATGAGTAGCAGTAAATAAATATATTTTTTAAAGTTGATAACTTTTTTATGACCCACAGTTGACCTTTATTTTTTTAAATGCCTGGGCAATTGTGGTTCATTGTGCATTTTACTGTTGGCCCATTCATTTCGTTTTTGGAAATTATGGTTCTGTATTTTCATTTCACCTTCATTTTTGTTTAATATTCAGGGAAAGGTGATCTTTTCAAACCAGAAAAAAAGAAAATAGAACTAGGTGTGAACTAGAGCTTATTAATATCTTGCTATTGCAAGAGTTTTTTTTTAAATACAGAATTTTGTTTGTTTTTAAAATTGGAATTTAATACTACCTTCATTGAGTCAGTCACTGCTCTTCTTGTGCAGGTTAAATATAAATTAAGTGAAACTCAACTATTCTCTGTGATGCAGCTCACAACCAAGATCAAGATTACCTTGAAATTTATTTGCATTTTTTTTAATGTATTGGTTTCTTTTGTAGGAAACTTCACACCATTTAAGTCTTACTCTGTATGTAACAATCCATCATTCATCATCACTGATAATAACATGTAACTGCTATTTTCCTTCTACCATGCATCATCTCTTTACAGTAGGCCTGGCTGATAAATAATTAAAGAAAAATTAACTTAATTACTCAACTACCAATGAGTAATAGTGTTTTTAAGCAATAAATTTGATTTGAACTTGGAAAATGTATTCAAAAAGAAAAGTGAAATTGAATTTCATTTACATACTAATTCCTTGGAGTTTGCTAAATTATCTAATGGTTTTCACCTGAGTTGAATTCTGATGCATGGAATCCTAAAGGAAAATGGCAGCTCTTTTATCCCTTTATTGTGAGTTTTTTAAATCAAGTACTGATTAAGTATTTAATACAACTTTTTGAGATGTTGTTTTAACTCTTCAGAAGCCAGTTGAAATGTTGCAGAATGAATAAAATTGGTTATTCTCAAAGACTCAGGAGAAACTAAATAAGCTATACAGAGTACATTTTAAATGTACAACACAAATTGGAAGTAAAATAAGTTACAAGATAAGTTTACAGGGATATATTGCATATAATTTTTAAAAGGCAGTTTTTTTCTTTTTTTTTAATGTGAATGTGTTTCTTAGTGAAATTTTACATTCCTTTGTTTTGGAAGATTGGCAATATTTGAAGAGTTAAAAATAGTACCGAAATGTGAAGTTTGGTAGCTCTAAATGTGTTGTACTTGACTTTTTTTATTTTCTCTCTCTTTTTGACTACTTAAGAATTTTCACAGTTCTAAAAAGATTGTTTCCAAGTCTCTCATGTGCAAGCTTTAAAGGATGCACTCTTGCCATTTTATGTACTGGAAGATCATTGGTCAGATCAAAACTGTGTCTGACAGAAATGTAAACTGTATAAACTGAGGAACCTCAGCTAATCAGTATTACTTTGTAGATCACCATGCCCACCACATTTCAAACTCAAACATCCTCTAGATGTCAAAATCCATTGTTTGAGTTTGTTTGCAGTTCCCTCAGCTTGCTGGTAATTGTGGTGTTTTTTTTGTTTTGTTTTTAATGCAAATGTGATGTAATATTCTTATTTTCTTTGGATCAAAGCTGGACTGAAAATTGTATTGTGTAATTATTTTTGTGTTCTTAATGTTATTTGGTACTCAAGTTGTAAATAACGTCTACTGCTGTTTATTCCAGTTTCTACTACCTCAGGTGTCCTATAGATTTTTCTTCTACCAAAGTTCACTTTCACAATGAAATTATATTTGCTGTGTGACTATGATTCCTAAGACTTCCAGGGCTTAAGGGCTAACTTCTATTAGCACCTTACTGTGTAAGCAAATGTTACAAAAAAAAAATCTCTGGGTTAAGAAAATTTGGCTTAAGTGTATCCTTTGTTATTTTAAATATATCAAGATATTTTAATTAAAATTTTTACCCCATTGAACCAATTTTATAGTATTTGTACCTATTTTGGTGTTTTGTCTTTATAGCAATAAAAGTTTTTGAACAAAGGTTGTTTTACTTTTTTTTGAAATAATTTCACACTTACAAAAAAGTTCTAAGAACATCACAAAAAACTCTCATATACCCTTCACCCAAAGCCCTGACTCAGGTTTTGCCAGCTGCCCAGGTATGACCTTTATGACAAAAGAATCCAAACCAAGATCACGTGTTGCCCTTAGTTGTTATGTTTCTTTAGTTTCATTCAATCTAGAACCATTCCTTAGTTCTTCCTTGATCATATATGTGTTATATACTTTCATGTAAATGCTACCACTCTTCCCAGATGGCACAAATTAAACTTAACTAATTCTATTCATGTAACTCTTTTTATATAATATGGTGTTTTTTTTAAAAAATCTATCCGCTTATGTTAAACTATTGGGAAGGAGGATTTACTCACCAGCTACTATTTGTCAGGCATACTTTGGAACAGACTATACTCCATTTCATAAATGAGGAAATGCAATTTCCCTCAAGCTGTAATTCTAGCTGTACCAGAGAACTCACTTGGCTGGCCCATAGTTTTAGTCTTAGATCATACCTTGTGGTTGTGTTTCCCACTTGCATCCTTCATATTTCTGCTCAGTAGTTGTTTCTCACATGATCAAACTTAATCAGAAATGAGATGATCCAACCCTGCAAATTAAGAAATGTCACTGAATAACTGAGTTCAGAAGCCATTTTCTGTCTTTACATTTGTTTTCAGGTTTCTGTATAATTTGATTTAAAATATTCACCTTTTATAAAGACTCTGGGTATTTTTGATAAAGTGTACACTTTTGTCATTTTAGGAAAATGTTAACTTTGAGAAATGTTTTTTGAGAGGAATTAAGAAAATAAACTATTATTCCTTGAGTCTATTTAAATATTAATAACTTTATTAAATGACCAACTCTGCAGGTTAGATAGAATCTATAAAAATGTTAGGGTATCATGCTCATACAGAAATGCCATGAATGCATACAAATTACTGATACAATAATTCATCTAGTATAAAACAAGATGCATGCAATACTGCAGTCATTGGGGAAAATAATGACTAACAGAAACTTATGCAAACTGCCATCCTTTATGTCATTTAAATTTTTGGGTTTGTTGTTTTTAAATTTATGCTGTAAGAAAAAAATCACAGGTTGAACTGACATAAGGGAAGAAAGAATGTGCTCTATAAAGTACGTAAGATGATGGACTTGGTGACTGCAGAGCCTGAGACATAACCTGGATCAAATCTGGACCTGCCACTTGCCAGCTGTGTAACTGTTTGACTTTCTGAACCTCCATTTATGCATCTATAAAATGAAAGGAATAGTGTTGTAAGAAGTGAGAACCTATGTAAATGGCCTAGAACAGTGCCAGGCACACTGGATGCACAATATGTTTGTATGAATAAATGAATGACCCAAAGGTTACAGGCTGAAACGCTTGTGGAGCTACAAGTGTCCTTGTAGGGCTCATGGCTGACCTGAGAGTTCATGCCAAATTCATGTCTAAGGGAAGCCATGGTTGCCATGTTGGAATGAAGAAAAAAAGTTCAGTGTTGCCAAAGCCTCTAAATTTTCAAAAGAAGCTGGAAATCTAGATTTTATGTGCTATTAAACGTTGGAAACATTTTTATTAGGAACTATAGGTGAAACAACACTCATACACTAGATTTGGCCTGTGGCTGTCTGCTTTTTGAGCTCTGACCTGGGTCCAGGCTTATAAAACAAAAGTAAGAAGGTAAGAAATTGGAAGGGAATCTCAGCTTTGGGAACCTGGATCCTGGACTTTTTTCTTCTAAGATACATAAGATGAGGGAAAAGTAGAGATACTATTATAGATACCAGAGAACTAACCTCTAAAGAGAAGATTGTCAAAATGCACTGATGTGAAATGCTGACCACTAAAGTCTAATTATCATGTAGCACACTATGCACATGTAGCATTCAAACATGCTATCACAGTGGTATAGTTAATATAAGTTTTATTTTACAATAGACAATGCCTGCATGATCTGTGACGAAAGAACTCCACAACTAAATACAGTTTCATCACTTCATAGTCAAGCTGCTATCACTATGGTCCATGCCTTGTGGCCTTCATAGCTTTGCCAGACCTGTAGAGATAAAACTAGGCTAGGCTAATCATGAAATAAAGCCTTCATGAGCCAAAGTTTGGTTTTCTCACACAATGCTAAAATTCCTATTAGAGTTTACTTTTGAGATAAGTACTATTTTCCTTTAAAGTCAATTTGGTTAATGAAATTTCTCAACTATGTAGACATACAGAGAGGATGAGGGTTGTAACGGGTGAAACAGAAAGGAGGAGAAATTATGAGGTATGGTGCAATATTGACAAATCTTTCACCGCGAGTGGCATGATCATATTTGTCATAAAAATCACCCTAGCAGCATCTTGAAGAATCAAATGGAGTAGTACAAGAGGCAGAGTAGGTCAGAAGACAGCTGCAGTATCCAGATAAGAAATGAGAGGGCTAGCTGAGTGGCTCAGTTGGTTAAGTGCACAAGCTCTGAGCAACAGGGTCACTGTTTCGATTCCCACATGGGCCAGTGAGCTGCGCCCGAGCTGAGCAGCTTCTGAGCTGCCAACAGGTGGCAGGATAGCTCAGCTGGTGAGGGCACGTGCTCCTAACAACAAAGTTGCCGATTTGACTCTCGCATGGGATGATGGGCTACGCCCACCCACAACTAAGATTGAACACTGCACCTTGAGCTGAGCAGCCGCAAACTGCCGATGGGCGGCCAGCTGGCGACTGGACTTGGAGCTGAGCTAGCTGCACCCTCCACAGCTAAGACTGAAGGACAACAACTTGACTGTTCCCCTTCCCCAATTCCCCAATAAAATCTTTTTAAAAAAAAATGAGAGTGAGCCCAGGCAACTTCTGATCAAAATGGCAGAGTAGGTAAACTGCTTACCTCCCTCCTACAGTCACATCAAAATTATAACAAATTATAGAACAACCATCATTAAGAACCACCTGAAGATTCGTTGAACAGAAGTCCTGTAATTAAAGAATATAAAGCAGCATCCACGTCAAGACTGGTAGGAGGAGTGGAAATGCAGAACAGGTAGTTCCCAAACCCACAGCATGGTGATTAAGAATCAGAAGGGATATCTCTGCTGTAGAGGTCCCCGCTGAGTAGTGAGTGATCCCGGCCCGACACTGGGCTCCCCAGCCTCAGGCACCAGTGCTGTTGGAGGAATCTCCATAATATCTGGCTGTGAAAACAGATTGAGTACCAGAGGGACAAAGCACTGTGGGAGACAGAAACAGACTGCTCTTATAGAGCCAGCACATAGACTCACTCTCTCTCAACCTCACTCACTGGCTCCAGCACAGGGGCAGCAGCTCCAAAAAGGCCAGAGACATACAAGGAGGATCTGAACTGATGAACCTCCAGGCGAAGGCAGGAGGGCCAGAGGTCGGGGCAGCTCTCTCTGGAGATGGAAGTGCTGGCAGGTACCACTGTTCCTTTGTTGCGCTCTACCCCCATTCAGCTATCAGGTGCCCATGGGTGCCAAATCTGTACTGTCCATTATTAACCTGGCTAACACTATTTACTCTGCCCTAGTGATTCCCTGAGACCGAGCCCTACCCAACTCACTTGCCTGGCTCGAACCTCTTCCAGCAACTTTTCCACACAAGCAGCCTGCCTTGGCTCACGATGTGGATTTTCCCCAAATCTCTCAAAAGTCTGCAAACCACCAACAAGCAGCAGCTGGCCTTTGCATGCCTTGTAGATCTTGCTAAACGGCTCCACGCCCAGCACAAACTGCAACTGGTTTCAACTTGCACTGTAACTCCCATCTGGTTGCCCCAAGCCTGGCATATACCTGGAATATAGCTTCAACTAAGCAGCCACAAGCCCAGCACAAGTGGCAGCTGGCCTCAGTTCTCACTGAAGTGCCCACCAAAAGGTCCCAGGCCAGGCACTAGTGGCAGCCGGCTTTGGTTCGCAGCGTAGCCTCTCCTAAGTGCCTCCAAGCCCAGCACAAGCAGCAACCAACTGCAGATCACTTTGTAGATGCTACCAAGTGACCCCAAACCTGGCACAAGCAGCAGCTGACCTTGACCTGCACCAGAGCCCCTCCCAAGACACTCCAGTCCCAGCACACCAGGTGGTCAGCTTCAGACCAACTACCTCCACAAACAACACACCTGAAGGGCAGACTCGGGTGGCACCAAAGCCACACTAAAGTAGCTCCTGCTCTGTGGGGTCAGCCCCTGCAGTCACAGCAAGCTCTCACAGCCAGTAGTCACCCTGAGGTTCAAACCCACCCACTGATGTGTCAACAGCAATCAAGGCCAAACTATTACAGGAGAGCACACACAACCCACACAAGAAACACCCAAGGAACACCTAGCTCAGGTGTAGGGAGACTGTGTCACTGGGCCCCACAAAACACCTACTACATAGGGCTACTCTGCCAAGACTGGGAGACACAGCGGATCTACCTAATACATAGAAACAAACACAGAGAGGCAACCAAAATGAGAAGACAAAGAAACATGTCCCAAATGAAAGAATAGAACAAAACTCCAGAAAAAGAACTAAACAAAATGGAGACTAGCAACCTACCAGATATAGAGTTCAAAACCCTGGTTATAAGGATACTCAATGCACTTAGGAGAAGAATAGATGAGCTCAGTGAGAACTCCAACAATGTACAAATTGCCAGTTACAAAAACAGTCACAGGGATGTAAAGTAAAGCACAGGGAATACAATCAATAATGTTGTAATAACTATATATGGTATCAGATGGGCACTAGACTTATCAGAGTGATCACTTTATAAGTTATATAAATGTCTAATCACTATGTTGTACACCTGAAACTAATGTAATTTTGTATTTCAACTGTAGTTGAAAAATAAATTTAAAAAATAAAAATTATGAGGAGAGAGTGATGTTAGCATCACAGCAAATAAGATGTCCCTACCAAAACTGAATCATGAAGAAAGAAAATCTGAACAGACTAATAACAAATAAGGAGATTAAGTCAATAATCAAAAACTTCCCAAGAAAGAAAAGAACTAGGTGGTTTCACTGGTGAATTCTATCAAACATTTAAAGAAAAATTAATATCAATCCTTCTCAAACTCTTCCAAAAATTGAAGAAAGGGAACATTCCCAAACTCATTTTATGAGGCCATCATTACCTTGATACCAAAGCCACATAAGGACACTATAAGAAAACTACAGGCCAATATATCTGATGACTATAGATACAAGACATTTCAACAAAATATTAGCAAACCAAATTCAACAGCACATTATAAAAATCATACACCATGATCAAGTGGAATTTTTCCTGAGATACAAGGTTCAACATATGAAAAATCAATAAATGTCATATTAATAGAATGAAAGATAAAAATCTCTCAGTAGATGCAGAAACACATGTGCAAAACACAATATCCTTTCATGATAAAAACTCTCAACAATTTGGGTATAGGAGGAACATACCTCAACATAATAGAAGCCATGTATGACAAACTCACAGCTAACATCATACTCAACAGTGAATAGTTGAAAGCTTTTCCTCTAAGATCAGGAACAATGATGGGTGCCATTCACACCATTCTTACTCAGCATAGTACTGAAAGTCCTAGCCAGAACAATTAGACAAGAAAAA